AAGGCAACTTCCGCCCCGCCTCGTGCGGGTACTACTGGTATGCTGTAATATATTATTACAATTATATCAGCATGACATAACATAATATAATATATTATCATTCCCCACCTGCCAGGTGAGGGCTGCCAGATTTTATCAGAGTTGTTCTCCTCCTCGGCTAGCTGTCCTCCTCCTCCTCCTCCTCGTCCTCCTCCTCCTCCAGTTTCTCCTCGACCATGTCTGCATCAACTTCCACCTGCACTTCCGCCTTGCCAATTCTTGGCCAAGCTCTTTGCCAACTCTCTTCGCCAAGCTCTTTGCCAACTTCCCAGCTCAGTGTGCACCGCTGGACCTCACCCTGGGACCTTCCCAGCTCAGTGTGCACCGCTGGACCTCAACCTGGGAGCTGCCCAGCTCAGTGTGCACCGCTGGACCTCAACCGGGGACCTGCCCAGCTCAGTGTGCACCGCTGGACCTCAACCGGGGACCTGCCCAGCTCAGTGTGCACCGCTGGACCTCAACCGGGGACCTGCCCAGCTCAGTGTGCACCGCTGGACCTCAACGGCCAGATAGAATGACAGAAGATATGCCAGATAGAATGCCAGAAGATATGTCAGATAGAATGCCAGAAGATTTGCCAGATAGAATGCCACCAGAAGATATGCCAGATAGAATGCCAGAAGGTATGCCAGGTAGAATGCCAGATAAAATGTCAGAAAGAATGCCAGAAGATATGCCAGATAGAATGCCAGAAGATTTGCCAGATAATATGCCAGATAGAATGCCAAAAGATGTGCCAGAAGATGTGCCAGAACATATGCCAGAAGATATGCCAGATAGAATGCCAGAAAGAATGCCAGAAGATATGCCAGAAGATATGCCAGAACATATGCCAGAAGATATGCCAGATAGAATGCCAGAAGATTTGCCAGTAAGAAAATCTATAAATGTCATGGTGGGGATCACACGAAGTAAAGTAATTACAATATCAGCATGACATAACATAATATTATTTGTTTAAAAATAAGCGAACTCTAAACAATACAATGTAACTGACTAGTTTCTACAATTACAATACGCCATAATTTAAAGTAATATGATACAGTAAAAATAATACAATACATATAATGCATTATAACATCATACAAAAAACACAAACATTACAATACAATACAACATGTAGAAATATGGCCATATCTCAAAATACAATATAATACAAATACACACAATGGATCAAGACGGTATATACTTGTACAGTGTGTGGAGAAGGCCCGCTCAAGACAAAAAATGCGTCCAAGAGGCATGGACATAGCAAGCCAAAGACATAGATTTGAGCTCCACCAAGGGCAGCGTGAAGTGATGCGGCCTGTTTCCAGTCACCACACCCTGCAGAAGAGTTCCAGGGGAGTGACTGGACACCCACACCCTTTGGGGCCTCAATGGCGACTACTTCAATGGCATCAATGGCATCGCTGCAGCTGTCATCAGGTTATCTTATGATTCTACATGATGCAATACTTATTTGTGTTTTGAAGTTTTTGCCTGGCATCGTGTGAGAAATTCCGAGAAACTGAAACTGCCTCACATGTGTCAAGGAGAAACTTTCCATAAAATGCCGACGTGGGATTAAACTTTCAAACTCTTCACATTCTTCAGCAATAAATTCTAATGTCGACGTGGGATTAAACTTTCAATCTCTTCAGCAATAGCGGCACCTTACGTATATAGATATATATATATATATATTGTCTGAAGCTTAAATGTACATCCCCGTCGCCTTTTGCAAGCTCAAGTCCATGTTCGCTATTAACACACACAGTTACTGCGTAGCTTCGATATTTACTGATGCTCAAATCCCCATCCCAACCACCGGCCTTGATCGCATCCACTGCGAAGCCTGCCTCATCTGCAATCACACCCACATTCTTACACCACTCCTGGTTGAGGGCTGGTTTGTGGTGGGGCGCCGAGCCAACCAAACACAGGGTTGACAAACAAAAAAAGGAACAAAATAGGGATGATTTGAATCGATTTGAATGATTTGTCTCCGAATCTGAAAGTAGGAAGGGACGCAATCATGAGGCTTCAAGTAAGTTTCTCAGTCATTCACCTGAGGTTTCTTGAATTGAAAATCGGAGCAGCAATGAAGTTGGATGCAAAACTGCAAACATGGTGGGAACCATTTTGTCTGATCTGGTTGAGGCCCCTTTTGACATTTCCATGGCAAATTTAAAGAAAAACGATGAAGGGTTCTTGGATTTCAGATATTTCAGCATCAGAAAGAGATGGGTAAGTCAAACCAGCAATGTTCTGGACATGGTTTGTGGCACCCTGCACATCCGAGGGCTCACTACTACCAAGACAAAGCGTGTGTTTGACCCCAAATTGTGAATCTCAATGTGACAATGGTGATGAAACATGAAATCAAAGGTCAACATGGGGGCTCCTATCTAAAATCTAATTTTAAAGTCTTAAAGGTCTCCTCTCAGTTCATTGGTTCCTCAAAACCATTTCTGCCCACGATCTTGCGTCCTCCGGGGACAAGTCTTTCAACCAACGTTCCTTTTCGAGGAGCCTTAGATGTACCCGTCAGCACCCAGGTTTGAGCCGTTTGAGCCTGGTCTGCACAGATGTCAAAGCACGTCCCCAACCCTGAGGCCAGCAGTAATTATACATGTAACTGTGCTATTTGATGCCATTTGCAAGTTGATTGGTTTATCTCTTTTAAATACAGCAGCCCCAAAAAACAAGGCTCCGGAAACTTCAACATGATTTAACTTTCTCAATCAGTCATACCTGTGGCCTCCGTTGTCTCTCGGAAAGATATCCTCTGACTCAAGACGTCACTTTGACTACTTTGACTACTTTGACTACTCAAGCCGCTGCGGCCTCTGGGGGTGTGGATCGGCTGCCATTAATTAAAGAAATATCAGTCATTCCCGATATCTTGCTGGTTTGTCCCACACTTCGACTAGATCATCCGGCAGAACGCGACCTGAACCCCGCTGTTCAAGGGACAGGGCATGGTCGGCTACGAAGTTCTTCTCGGAGATGCGCAACTGTGCCGCGCATTCTGCCGGGCACTTCCGAAGAACTGCGTAGCCATCTTTTTTTTGAATGATGTCCTTTGACTGGTGCAGGCACCATACAAACATCGATGACTATCGCGAACCGGATATGTCCACGCGTGAAGTGAATCTGTGATCTGTGTTTACTACACGTACTATATAGGTCCTATAGGTGCATATGCTGCATATGTCATGCATGTCCTTGTCTGAAACTCAAAAATAAATATGTATACCTATTATACGTATGTATACCTAGACCGCGTAGACCCACAAACGATCAACATATTCTAGTACAAATATATACAGTAAGTCATGATACTAGTTGTAGATGCTTCCGAAAGAAAAAATGGTAGTCCTGCAAAACGAACACTTTGACAAAACAACTGCTTTCAGTTGTTTCGCTGGGTTTGAACTTGTTTGGTAATTTGAATTGCTTTGACATACCTGAGAAGGACATTAATGTTGCACCATCTATCTCAATCTTAGGAAAACTGCTTTAGTGGATGCACCCGATATCGAAAGCTTTCTTATCTGTCTCTTTATTCAGGATTATCACTCTAGAACAGGTACCTTGAGGGAACTTTGATGCCGATCCGGGCCTGACCACGGTCACTTGTTCATGAAACGGCCAAGTATTTTAAGCAACCTCAAACGCAAACTATAGTTTTCGTCATAAGTAGTAGTACTAAATAATATATGTTGGGAGTTTGTGGGTATAGGATGGTATAGGTATATACATATGCATATGCATCTTATTGTATGCATATGTATACACAGAGAACAGCAACTTTGGTATGTGTTTATACATTGAATTCCGGGCAATATCCATCAGTCCTCTTGTTTGTGGGTGACTTTCTTGTTTCCTCAGCATGCAACTGCGAGTAGCTGAGTAGCTGCAGTGTGGCATCCCAGATCATCGGCCCAGTCGGCCATCTGGATGCTGGTTGCTTCAATCCATTGCCAAAAAAAAGTCAACATATGTCCAAATTCGCAAATTACCATCTAAGCCTGTACACAAACACATACAAACACACACCCAAGAAAATGATAAAACATGAATTTTCTCTAAAGTCTAGGTCAATTATGGGTACTCGTGGCCCCACTTGGGAGTGACTAATGGGGCTGCGGACACTGCTGAATTTAGAAGATCTTAGAAGATCTTAAAAGCATTTGAAAGCTATGACTCCTGACTAACATCATGCTATTCAAGATCCAAGGTACTGGGGATGGGCTCCTTGGCTGGCCACTCATTGGCCCATGCACGAAGCCCTTCCATTGCCGTGCGCCGACGCTTTGGGGCATGGAACCTGTCAAAGTTTAAACTCAGCTGTAACATGTCCAAGCTGTCTTGGTTTGTGCCCTTCCAGTCTACCCCCGCGCAGCAGTCTGATTCAAGATTCTCTGATTATCGAGGTTCCTGACTCACTGGGGTTTCGCAGCAATGGTCGTGAAAAACAGCCCACTTTTTTTTACTATCAGACTCTGATAGTAAAAAAAAGTGGGCTGTTTTTCATGGCCATGGCTGCGAAACCCCAGTGAGTCAGGAACCTCGAACGGCGTTGAGCCAAAAGCTAGGTTTCGTATGGTTTCGTGGCTAACCGTGAAGCAGCAAACAATAGCAAACATCATATATATATATATGTATTAATATGTATTAATATATATATAATAAATTGGAAACGACCAAGCGGCAACGCGATTTGCGAGGGACCCACCCGGGACACTGCGCGCTCCCAGGGTAATCTCACAATGTTGTCATCGGACAGAGTCCGAACGAAGATTGAAATATGTTTAGATTCTAGCTTTTGATGTGTTCAACATATGTATATATATATACATGTGTTTCTCATTCATGATGTGGGATGTGGGTGGAAGTCAGATAGCGGACAAATCCTCAAAACTGTGTTGTGAACACTAAAAGCAGAGCCGTTTTCCTGTCACCATGTCGGGGTCCTTCATCTTCATGAAGTGCTGAGGCTCCTTGAATTTCACCAGCAGCGCTTGCTGAGCCTGGCTCGTTTGCATCACTGGGATGTGCCCCAAGATATCTCAGCTTCTCTAAGATTCTCTATATCCAACCACCCCAGTCTACATAGCTGCGTTGCTGGTACAGATTAAAAGGCTTGGATCAGCTTGGCAAGATCTGTACGCGTACAGCTCAAAGTTCCGGCCAAAACATGTCGCAAAGATTGATCCAAAAACATCCAAAACTCAGACGCCCTTCCCCACCTCTTCATCGGCCCCTGGCAGTTTCCACTGGTTCAAGTGGTTAGTTTCCCCCTCAACCTCGGAAACAACATATTTATGCTGCTTCATGTTGGTTCATACCCGTTTCTTATACATTCATATTCTTACAATTTCGTGTGCATATCAATGCTGCTGCATATACATATAATATAGTATAATATAATATAATATAATATAATATATAATTACAACATGTATTAAAAGTTGATCTCTTTTGCTTGACATCCCGATTCTACTGGTAACAAGACGCGATGAGATCCACCATGCTCCAAGGTTTTCCATGATCCCCCACCTGTGCCCTCCGAAAAGGAGAATTTCGACATGGCTCCGCAGCTCCCGGGCGCGCGCCCGGCGCGCCACCGCTTGAAGTGTCTCGGAGTGCATCAAAGAACCAAAGCTGGGTGAGGAGTAGAGACCAACGTGTCTCAAAATATTTGGGCTCAAGATTTGCAACCCATAGCTTAGAACGAAGTTAGAGATATTTGAGACTTTGCAGACTTGGAGTGACTTGCTGGGGAGAAGCTAAAAGTGTTGCCAGTCAGAAATGGAAAAACCTACTATTATCACTTCCAAGATCCCATTTTAATAGGGACCTTTGTCCTTTCAGTTCCTTCCTCCGAAGGGATTCCAGACCTTCAAGGCTCCGCAGCAAGCACCCCCAGACTTCACCCTTTCAGCCCCGCTGAAGCGCAGCTCGGACGGAATCCTTTCCGGCTGTCAGAGTAATTTTTGTCACTCAAGAGCCATCCAACTGCCCAAGTGGTAAACATCTTCAATGTCAATGTCAGGGATCCAGAACTAGACATCAACAACTCTTCATCCAGTCTCGAGTGACCCTTCCATAGAATCAGTTGCTAACCCTTTGGAAGATCATCTCCCTCCAAGTCAGCGCGGCCCCGAGGGTAGCCCCATCCAGGCCCTCTCAGCGCCTGCACAGCGATGAGGGAACACCCAAATCCTACGGACGGTCCTACGCTGATGACCAGCGCTACAGCTACAAAATGAAACATCCCCAAGATGCGACTGGTAGGGAAGGGCCCCCACTTGGAGAAACTCACTAAAATTTACCAAAAGTTTCCATAACCAGGATGGGTCTGTCGTGATACCAACGCGGGTTGTTGGTATCACGCTGCTTATCTGCGTCCGCGATGTCCGCAGCATGAGCCGGGCATTCTGAGGTGAATGTGTTTGCGCAAAAAAAAGGCACCCCAGATCCAGTAGTTTATTGCTGGCTGAGAAGGGCCAAAACTCCATTTTGAACTAACACATGTGTTTTTTTAAGTTTTTTGGACCCTTTTGATGGCCTAATGAAGCGACTCAGCAATCCGGCTCACACCCACCCCTGCCTGGAGTCTGAACGTCGTCGGGGGGTTGGAGACCTGCGATCTTGAGAATGGACAGCAAAATGTTTGGGCACCAGTGAGACAACCTAGGAAAACCACAGACTTGTTTGTTGACCAAGAAACGTGATCAACCAACTATAGCGATGGGTCTGTGTCAAAATGCACGTTAACCCTTGATATCAATTAAGTTCAATTAATATCTAGTCAAAAATGACATGGATATTAATGACTAAAGGATATTCATGGATATTTATGTCATGATATTAATGATATTAATGACATTTGAAATGGATAACTGGATATTCCTTTGTGGTTTCCGATGTCCAAAAATGCCTCGCACGCCTTCGCCGCGAGTTGGACCGACGCCGCGGGGACGGCGAGCGCCGGCGCGGCGGCGTGCGAGAACGCTGACGGCGCCTCCCGTTGGGGGGCACAGAAAATGTGGTCATGGGATGGGTCAAACACAATATGGGTAGGGGATGGTAGGGGATATGGTAGGGGATATGGTAGGGGATGGGGATGGGGCATAGGGGATATGGGGATGTGATCACAGTGACTGGGCTCCAGTCAGAGACTGGATGTTTTTTTTTTAAATAAATTGCGCGTCAAGGGTCATCTGTTTCAAGACTCTGACATGCATGTTGCATGTGGGCCTGACTTCAACAATTCATCCGCATCAAATTTTATGTTTTCAAATTGCGTATTGGTTGGTGCCAAGAATGCATATTTATATAGCTTGTAGATCTCAACTTTCAATGGCACAATGGACAAGAAATGTGCATTTTAAGCAACTCAATATGCATTTTCAGACCTACAAGATTGCCACATTTGCATTTTCGAATGGTACCGAAACTGCACATTTAGCTTGTAAATCTCCATTTTCAATGGCACAATGGACAATTTTCAGCAACTCAATATTCATGTTCAGACCTACAAGACTGCCAAATATACATTTTGAATGGTACCAAAAACGCAAGTTGCAACGGTTATGATGGAGATGCAATATGCATTTTCATTTGCTGAAGATGCTCCTGAAGGTGCATTTCATTCCAAACTATCCTCCTCCTGCCTCTGTCATGAAACTAAGGAGATTTATATACCAATAAAAACTATGCTGTAAGACTAAGATTTTGCCAACAAGGAAATGGGTGCCTCAACAACTCACCAGCTGGTTCAGAACATGGAAATTTGACCATCAAAATTTTCCAGTTTTCGGGCCTACCTTAGGACCGTTTTGGTTTAAAACCATGACCATCCGGTGTGGGGTTGGGGCCCGTGTCATTGATGGGTATTAATTTGTTCATCGTAAAAAAAATGGATTTGGAGAGTCATGTTAGTCTTTGCTAAAGGAAAACAATATATATATATATACGTATATAATATGCATATGTACAGATCTTTATTTATATGTATATAGATATATACACATACAATGTATATGCAATATGTGTATATCCTATTATCCTATATTATTATATTATATTATATTATATTATATACTATAATACCTATATACATATATATATATATTATACATACTGAATGGCATCTTAACTTCAACTTTTCGTCTAAACGGATCAAATCCGCCACCCTCTCAGCGACACGCCTGGAATCGGAGCGTGCCCGCGAGTCCGAACGGCCGCGGCCATCGCCACGAAGCTTCTCCTGACGCAAAGGGCAGCTGGGAAATTAGCAGTTTCAATTTTCAATGGAGAATGAGAAAAGTGGGATTATTGGATGATTATTGGATGATTATTGGCTGATTGTTGGATCATGATTGGTGGATTCATGTGGATTCACAACTTTACTCAGTCAAATCACTCCGGTGAGGGTAAGTGCCACTCCATTTACGAGGAGAATTGGCGAGGTGGTAGTTTGATGTTTGTAAATGAACTTTGAACCCCATTGAGACGATTGATGGGGACCCAACTGCGAAGAGCAGCATTTAAGAGTTTTTGACTGGCTTGCACTACATTATCCCAAAATCCGAGATTCAACATAAGTTCAAACAACCTTCTAAGTAGGCAAAAGACTGATCTTCGTATACAAGACACAGAAATCTCTCAGAAATGGCACTAAATCATACTAAATCCCCATCGAGGCTTCATACCAAATATCCAAGGTTGGGGGACCAGACGTTCGGTGCCATCAAACTATGGATCATATCTCTACCATATATCTACCATATAACCCCCGAACAAGAACCTACTGAACCAAAGCAACCTACATAGGGGGCATCACATTGAGTTAGTAACCCACTATGCTGATCCAACGACCCCCAACCAGGTAGTATAACACACTATTTCGGTCTATGTCACAATAACCAACAAACCATCATATTTCCACCCATAGAATCAGCTGGTTTCTGCACCCACATCAATGACGATTAAATTCATGTGTTAAAACCAATATAAATGATGGTTCTTATCCCCATTCATGCCCCATCTGCTTTGAAGCATAATAGGGGGGCAATATCAGGTGTTCATACTTACTATTCCCATGTTGCACAGTAAATATCCACATTAATGATGGTCATTCCCATAAAGGAACTCTCACATTGATGGTATATCCATCATGGGATGAACATGATGAAAAGGTTGGTTTAGTATTCCCATGTATTCCCAAAAGCTTGGTAAAACAATAATGAACCACTCCCAAAATCACCGTAATTGGGTGGTATAAAGCCTCAATTCTAATATTGGTGGAAGATGACATTGCTTTACTCACATTATGTACTGGTGATCAAACATATATCACCAATTATTGTTTTTCTAACCCATATGTGCCATATGCATGGATTTCTTCACCACAACCCATATTTCTTTGGGGTTTCTTAACGTCCCACCGTTGCACGCCGGGAGAGTTTGAGTTGGGCACCTGGACCATCTCGTTCACCAGGCGTTCGGCCGCCGCGCGGCCCTTCTCGGAGGTCTTGGAGCCCGCGTCGACCGAGAAGATCAGCAGCCGCTCCTGAAATTCATGGATTCACCGGGGGTCACCGGGGGTCACATGGGGTCACTAAGGGAAAATGATGGCGGTGATTCTGGGATTTGAGATGACTGGTTCCATTGTCCATGCAAGTTCCCATCCGAACCTCAAAGTGGAAACTGCCTAAATTCCACAGTAAATTCCTGTGGAAACTGCTGGTTGCTTCCCCAACCTCCCAACCCCCACCCCTCCCACCCCTCCCACCCCTCCTCCCCGCGCTTGTCCAAGGCCATAAACATGTAGGTCCCCGTCTCCAACTCCATCCGCCGCAGCTCGCTGCCGCGGTTGCCCGTGACCCAGCCCTTGCAGTTCTCGGGGACGTGGACCTAGCCGCATCCACAGGCTGGGTCAAGAAAAGTGGGAATATAATGTGAATAATTATATAATATATATATATATACACATTAACTATATAATATTAATGTGTATATATGTATATATATATATATATGTATATAATTGTATATACGTACTATTACAGTATGTAAATATATATAAATTATGTATATATATATATATACGTACTATGATCATCTTTGGGACCACCTCTTTTCAAATGTCCAAGGTTCCTGCTGTTTCCTCCACGTACAGACACCCGGAGCAATCACGCTATGATGTTTGTGGAAACCTCTGCAAACTCTTTGTCTCAGCTTTACCACCAAAGTTGTTGGTGCATAATATCCCCATGTTGGTTACTTATAAAATCTAATTTCCAAATGATAATTTTCTACTCATAAATTCCAACGTTTCTTGGTTGTCCTCTCCCAATTCTTTCCAGATTCGGCCAAGCAAACACCAGAAACTTCACCAGTGCCTCCGTCACATCCTCGCGCTCTGCGACGTTGTTCACGGTGACTTGTCCCCGGCGTTGTTGCAGCAACCAATCCAGGAACTCCTGGCAAGTTTGTCGCGACTTGAGCGAAACTGGAGTTGTGAGCGGGAAAGAGGTGACGCAACTGGATTGAATGGGACGAAACATGACGAAACCATTCAACAAAATCTCAGGGCTTGAACTCCAAAACAGGGTTAGGGTTTAGGATTGACTACACATTGTCAACATCGAAATGATAAATCATCCCAGCTGCGGGCCATGAGAGTCACGAAAGCAAAGAGCAAAAACAACACCAAGCAAAAGAAACAAAACAACCGAAAGAAGCAACAAAGCCACGGGAAGGAAAAGAAAGAAACAAGGACAAACAAGAAATAAAGAAAGAAAGAAAGCAAGCAAGCAAGAAAGAAAGCAACAGCGGCAAAAGAAAAAAAGAAAGAAAGAAAGAAAGGAAAGAAGGAAGAAAGGAAGGAAGGAAAGAGAAGAAAGATGTAAGTAAAAAAGAAGGGAAACCAAAAGAACAAGAATCAAAAGAAAGAAACAATGGTCGAAAAATGAAGGACAACAACCAAAAAAAAACAACACGAAGGAACCCAGAAAATCAGGTGCACCTTGGCCCTGCGGCGTTCTGCCATGGTGCCCGCCAGGAAGCACACGTGCCCCACGTATTGAATGATGCATCCCGAGGCCAAGGCCAATCTCAGCGAACGACGGAGCTGGAGGACAGACGGGCTACCTGAGGTTACCTGATTTCTATTGGAGGCTTCAATTTTTTTGGAGAACACCAGCCCGCCTTGAAGACTTGAAGATAGAAAATGTGTTCAATCTGTGTTGGCCAAGATCGTAATGGGTCCATTGTTCCACGTCACATGGATCCATGTCTACTTTCCAAACGACTTCGAGAACTATGCCTTTGCCTATCCTCTTCCCTCAACGTCATGCTTCAGAAATTCAGCTATATAGATGTCCTCCACTCAATCCTGCGCTGATTCCACTTGCATCATCTCTATGTGATTAATTGTTGATTATATTTGTTTATATGGTATCTGATTCCTATGAAGGTTTCCTAAGTCATGCTACCCCAGTCATCCAAGTCATTCGACGGATCCCCCTTGACTCCATTGAGACCAAGTCGCTTCTTCCGGGTGCTGCCCTGCTTCCCCAGGGCATAGCTTAATTCATCGTCCTGCGGCCCAGAAATCGATGGATAACGGTTAAGGAAACAACAGGAATGGTCGGAATGGTGTTTGTTTGGTGTTTGTTTATCATTGTTTATAATTTTTTATAAGTTTATCCCCAAATTGATTGAGGTCTCCTGTAGATTTGCCCTTTAAACCCAACTGTTGGAGTGAGTAAGCGCAGTAAAATCCAAGCTCAACCAGCCATCTGATCATCTCTGGCTGTTTTGTCGTCTTGGTGTCCAGTCTATGGCTTGATCTGATGGCAAATTTCACCGTTTCACCTTCAACATCCTTCAACTCATTCAACATGTGCCACCAGTACCGTGTGCATTCCAGGCTTCCTCAAAATTCTGGGATCAAAAACATCATCACTTCAAATGCTGCCAACCCCTGAACTGGGAAACATAATATATATATACTATACCTACATCATACTAATATATATATATAAAATATGTATTAGGGGGCTACCATCTATTTAGATCTACTTAGGTCTAACAACATTCTCACCATAATAGTTATTAATAATATCAACAACTATAAATATACATTTTAACTATTAACTATTAATACTATAATTTTAATTTAGATAACAATTATTTCATGTTATTTGTACATCAGGACCCCATCGCCATCGCCACATTCCATCAGGTGCCTTGAAGATCATCCGATCCGTCGAGAATCCCTTGGAGTCGCTGAACTTCTCGCGGATGCCACGGGTGTATTGACCTCCAGCGCGAGTACCGTCCAAAATATGGCCTGTTATAACTTTGGGTCAGAAAAAGATACAAAATCAGATACTAATGATTTCTAGTAACTTCCCAAAAATGATTATTTAGGATTGTCTCCAACATGATTCTACTAGCTTATCTGTTCCACACGTACCTGGTGCTTTTTCCTCCACGGAGCTCATGACCTTCAGCTCCTTGGCCCAGCTTTCAACAGAGGACCGGGGAAACCAACCATTGAACATCAGCTTTAACCTGCTTTAACATGTTTAACTTAAATTACCAGCATACAATAAGTCATAGTCATAGTCATAGTCATAGTCATAGTCATAGTCATACAATCATTACAATTCCCCGCAAAAAAATATGGTTTGAAGCCAGAGCTGGGGGATTTATTGCAAGAAATATGGGGGATTCCACTGGGATTCCACTGGGATCCCGGGCCGCACCGCGGCGTCCACGTTCAGGGCCCAAAATGGCCAGTTGCTCACCTCGCTTGGGGTTGGGCTTGGGGCCCAAAATGCTTTGTTTAGTATTGTTTAGTGGAGAAAATGATGATGAACCATGGGATTTACTAAAACATCTAAAACAATCTAAACATATATAGGATTCTGATGGATTTGGGGGTTTCCCAGTCGAAGAAGAACCACCAATTAAGCATAATTAAGCACCATTGTTGGCGATGTCAAACCGCAGACCCCTCAGATAGCTGCGAAAGTTTGATCAGGACTTTGGATCTTTGGTTGTTGGGAAATGTTGGGAAGAGGGTTGTCATGCCCTTCACTCCAGCCTTTGCCATGGATGCTTCGATGCTGCCCAGGAGCCGAATCCACCACCCCTTCGATCGCCCTTTCCACCTCCTCACAAAGGCGCGCACCCGGCCTTACGAATTTCCTCATCTTTCTCAACCTCTCCTTTTCAACGGAAGTATAGCCGATTGCGGTGGTTCGGTGGGCCGGCTATTGAAATGAGATTTTGTTTTACCTGCCCAAATGACTGAAATTGGTGCAATATCTGCAATCAGTGCCAGCAACGACACGTCCATCTCATCTGCCCGGCACCTGTGCCAGGCTTTGTCATGAAAAACATCAGGGTGCCCCACTCTTCCTGCGCCGTTGATGCGCAGCTAGTTGGGATCTCGAAGAATCAAGTTGGATCATGATCCACTCAACCGTGGGTTTCAGATGCTTCAGCTAGGTTCAACCCTCACAGGCTCAAGATGGCTCAAGATCTCAACAACTCGGTGACAGGACTGTCAGCCCGCTCAGATCCTCCATGCCACCGAGCGCAGCGCGACGGCTGCCGGTGACATAGCCAATGCAGTCACTGGGGATGTCCAGAACCTGAGGAAGATGTCTTCAATTTTCCCCATGGGTTCTATATATATATACATAATATATATATATATATTCCATCATATATTCCATCATTTTCCATCATTTTATGCAATCCATTAAGATGGAAACTCAAGTGGACGTGGGGACCTGAAATGGGACAATGGTCACCTTTAAGTAATCTGGAGACTCCACGGTGAAGCTGAAGGACATGGGTCAAAACCCGGGAGTTTCCCCTGGATTTCACACGAAAATTGATGGTACATCAATCGATAGTCCCACTGGTCTTAACCCGTCCAGTATTAAAAAAACACCAATCAAGTGGCGTATATTGATAGGTCGAGTCATGTTAAGTCCCAGTTTAGGGACTTAAAATGATTATCTCAATTATCTCCTCATTTCATGCGGTAATTTCCCATATACTACCCATCAATTATGGGGTGAACCCCCATTTATCGATCAATTTCATGATCCACGAAACCAGCTATCCCTTGACATCACCCGCTGCTTGCAGGTCACCGTGATGTCGTCGCGATCCTCCCAGTTGTCCACCCAAACGGGGCCTGTGGTGGACCCACCCTGGAAATGATGGTAAGGTAAGGCTGGCAAGTAAGGTAAAATTGGAGATAAAATTGGGATGTTACCATCAGAAATGAGAGCTCCGCTGAATCAACGAAGAGAATCTTGGTTGCAGCCAGTGTATAATGAATAAAAATGAATGAAATTGAGATCGAAGTACATTGAGGAACGCTACCAAATCAGAGAGATGGAAAATGCAACGAATAGTTGTTTAAGCACTAATTAACCACATTGGGATTTGTCCCATCAAATGTGCACCCAAACTTGAAAGACTGTTTTCTGGGTGTCCGTCGCTGTCTATCTCGATATGGTTGGGCAACCGGACCTTCTAGTTGCATGAAGAGCCACTTCATGTACTCCTGCCAGCAGATCTTCGTGGGTAGAGTCATCCAGAAGACCCGGATGATCCACAACCAATATTGCCTTATTAGGTGGTGACCAAATCAATTTGCTTGGAGCCCTTGAGTGCACAATTATCTGCAATCTAAGCTGACAGTAGAAACCCTCTGAATTATTCATGAACTTTCCAGAGAGAACAATAAGGTCTTTGAGTGGGACCATGTGGTGAACCCAGCAATAAACCTATCAGCAATAGGTGTTGGAAACCATGCCCGGTGAGCCTAACCATTCAGTCCTTGGCGCGCTTGCGTTCCGCCTTCGTCCCGGAGAAGAGAGCGGTTTGGCCCACGTATTGCACCACGGCTCCTGGGGCTATCCCCATGGTGCCCCTGAGAGTATCAAGATTACACATGGTTTATTCTTGGAACATTTTGGAACCATAATACCTGGGATGCAAAAAGAAATCTCCAATCTGGGATTTGTACCTCTGGTATGTGCTAGTTACTTACTTGGGCGGTGTGACCAATGTCTCCAATGACCGCACAATTTGGAATGAAGATCACGCGCTAAATCCAGTTTTGTGTACTGAGTGGTTGATTCAAGTTTTCGAGGTTTGGTCATCTTTATTGGGTACCAGTACCCCAAGCTTGGGCAGTTCTGCTTCTAGAACATCACCCGAAACGCTTACACTATCAGATCAGAGAGTCCCTTGGCTTCCTGGGCAGCACAAGTGCTTTTGGTGCGCCTACACGTGCAAAGAGTAATATGTAGTACATGAGCCTCCGTATATCTAACCACTGCGCTTAACATGAAGATATCCGTTCAGCGCATTTTATGCTCTTGTATCTAAAGGAACAAATACTTTGCTTGCAATGTAAGGACCTGTTGCCCTATGGGTGTGGCGTAGTCTTTCAAAGTCTTGCAGACTCGAAGGTCACTTCCTCTGGAGGTTTGACTCCTCCCAGGTCCGGTTTGCTTTCAGTTCCGCCCTTTGCTCGCTTTTTGCCTTGCTTTCATTCTTTCCGTTTCTTTCGGTAGCCGCCTTTGCCCTTTGTCCACCAACTTTCTGATGGATTGAAACTGAACCAGCTGCACCTCAAATTCCAGTCGGTGATCATCCTTTTTCAGCAGAACCATCGCCATAAATTGAGGCATTCTTGGGCAAACCGACCGATAAACCCCCCATCAACCGCAACCAGCGAACCAGCGCCTGAGGAACGCTCCAGCTTCTTACGCGTGCCACCTTGCTTTCCCAGCGCATAAGACAACTCATCGTCCTGACGGCGAGAAAACTGTGACCATGGGAACAGTATGGAACAGTGGTGAGTGGATCACTTGTCATCGATTTTCTGGGCAGGCAGAATTTCCAAATGATGTTTTTCCATGTTTTTCCGCATTTTGATACTGATTTGTGTCTGCAAAATTCAGCAAAACAGTGACTCATGTCACTTCCTCGCAGTCTATGGACACTCCCACTCTGCCACATTCTGGCATGACCCGCGGCGTTTCAAATTTGCGTCCGCCTGTCTTGTCTGGGTCTAAGATTCTTCAACCCATAAATGTAATGGGTTTGTCCATGTTCAAACCCTTCAAACCCACCGATTTCTCCTTTGAAGCAGCACGTTGATGAAATCAGAACCCGCTCTTCAATGTCATGAATTTGGAAGCCTGTGAACTTTCCCATCTCCATCAGGCTCCAAGAGAACCAACCCCACCTGATATCACTGACGTCATGAGATTTGAGGATCACCAGACGTCTGGGATCTCATGGGAACACCATCCACACGGACATCCAACTGCCCCGCGCTATCCCCGCGGTGCCACCACCTGGAACTGCATGGTATCGGTGCTCCAGGTGCCAGTCTCATCACGGTGCCGGTCACGGTCCAGGACCTCATCCTTGATGCTCGCCTCAGCGATCGCAGTGGAAACTCATCCGAAGAAGCGATAGATTGAAGGGTGGAAAATGGCTATAAATGGATGGGAAAAAGAAGAAGATGATGATTTCATGGAAACTCATACGAATATGTATACGTATATTATGTCGCAGCTAGCCAGCTTGGATGACCGGAGTGTATCAACATCATCTTTTGGGAGCGGAGTGTTTAACAAAACCCTTTCAGGTTGTGTTTCAACCCCCAACCCAGAAATCGATTGAGACTGCGAAAACATGCGAAAACCCCATTCGAAGTTACATCTTGATATGTAGTTGCTACATCCCCATCTTGTGTCGTTCAATTGCTAAGCCCCCAATCCCAACCCCCTCAACCCCCATCTTTATGAAATCCCCATTGTTGTTGAGTGAATCTGCCTGGGTGCTGGAGAAATCGTTATTTGTGTTGGATTGCGAGTTCAACCCCATGAAACCCCATGTCTTGTTGATCAAATTTGAGGGAACCCAACAATGATTGATCAGCAATTAGTTCAATGACCGCAAATCAAGCCGATACTAGCAAGTCATTGGTGCATCCAACCCCCGAAACCTCTACCCTCTGCTATCCAAACATGGTATTATTTTGAGAAATCCTCTGTAGATGGGGGGTCTGAAATGGTAAAAACATCGAAAAACATCGAAAAACATCTGGTGGATGTTCCCATTTATACATATATTTATACAATTTTATACATATTTATACATGGGTGTGTCTGAAAATAGTGTACCCCTACACCCAATGGTTAATGATCATTATCCCTATTAAATGGCTATAATTGGGGGTAAACCCCATTTTCAGACATATCCACATATTTATACCATGTTTGAATAGCATTTTTTTGTATCAATGGTGCCCAGTGACAAAATATCCCGGCACCTTGGTCTCCACGGCACTGAGCACCAAGAGCTCCGCCCCACGGCGGGCTCGGATGGTGCCTCGGATGACTGGATGATGGTTATAATAGTGGTTATAATTTAATAGTGGCTATATGATGGTTATATGATGGTTATATGATGGTTATATATGGTTATATATGGTTATATATGGTTATAATAGTGGTTATAATGCCAATAATGATGGTTTCAATAGTGGTTATATGATGGTTATATGATGGGAGAAATGATCATCTGGTTGGTGATAGTGGTTATCTAATGGTTATCTAATGATTAATGATGATTGATGATGGTTAATGATGATTGATGATTATAAAATCTGGTTGGTGGTTGACCTACCCCTCTGAAAAATATGAGTTCGTCAGTTTGGATGATGATTCCCAATATATGTGAAAATAAAAGCCATGTTCCAAACCACCAACCAGTGATCATGATGATCTTCCCCCCCCCCGAAGATGTAATTTCACAAACCTAGAACCTAAGATGTTGATGTTGATGGATAGGATTTTGATATATTTTGATATATTTTGGGGATCCTCTCATTGGCATCTATGGTGGCGGCCAGTGCCAGCGATTCAGGTCAGCTGGGTTTTTCAGATGATCCAAGCTCCAAGCGAAGCGACCAGAAATCGTTGGAAAACATGGGTTGATCTGGTCAAAAAACGGGATGATACATCAAGTTGAATTGATAACACATGGTTGATTCAACCTGGTTGATAGATGTTGATAGATTGTCACAACCTCTAGCCGCTCTAGCCATCTCCCACCCCTCATGACTGTGCCTGAATGGGTGTTCTACCACAAACATCACCAAACTACTAACCAACCTTAATCAGCATTAACCAACTTTAAAGTCCCTTCAGTTGGATGAACAGCTTCTCCCATCAAGGCACCAAAAATGGCCAGCTTCTCGAAGGCTTTGTCACGACCTGCCGGGACTGGTCATCCCAGCTGTCAGGATAGGCTTGTCGACAAGTTATACCCATGATGGGCAAGGTTTCCTTACCGAGAGGGATCAGCCAATTTTTTTAAAATAAAAACAGGTGTGGCCGGGCTGGTGATTTAAGAGGATCTGAACATATCTGAACCATCCAATCAAAAAAGTGGCGTCACCATCAGGCGATCGCAGCGGCCTCTACCCTTGTCCACCTCACAAAAGAACATCAGGGTAGTCCACTGATCCTGGCATGACATTGGATCCACCAGTGCGAATCATGTCCCGATGGCTCAATGTAAAATGGTCCAACGAAAAAAGGCGAAAAAGTTGTGTTCCTTTAACAATGATGGCTCAATCTACTACAAACATGTTGATGTATAGTCTACTCCATTCATATGTATTCCATTCATATTTAGGATCTGAATATGATCGTGAGGGTCCGTTCCATTTTTATGATTTAGCTGTGTCCAAAAGAAAGTTCATCTTTCCACCGTTTCTTTTGGGGGCAAGGCTATATTCTCAGTACCAGTGGATGATCCCTTCTGTGGGTTGATTGCCAAATCCTCCATTTCTACGCTAAACGTCCCCATGCACTATCCTCCATTACACCCGCATATCCCAGAAGAAACAATCCCATTCATATTCCACTGGTATCCCATCATGTCCCATTGTATAATCCTCCCATCAAGACTATCCCATTACATGATACACAGTATCAGTAATATTCTGCTATTGCGCCAATCCGGAGCTACCCCGTTCACATCATCCCATCTAAATACTAAATCAATAATCCCCCCATTGTATCAAAAATTGGATTAAAATTCCAAGTGTTTGACCATCAAATCCCAACCAAAACCCATAACCCCATAGATGAAATCCCAGCAAAACGTCCACATCTTGTTTTCATCAGAAAAATCATCAAACATCCCCATGTGCATCCTAAAACCCCCCATCAAAAATCCATGAAACATCTCATGTGCATCCTAAAATCCCCATCAAAATATCATGAAAAATCCACAAAAAAAACCATCCCATCGGTTCCCATCCCATCCCATCACCTCGATGCTGCGCAGGAAGTTTCCCGCACGGCCCGTGACGAAGCCCACCGCCTCCTGGGGCACCTTCCAAGGCTGTGGCCGTGGGAAAAACCATGGGAGTTCCATGGGAAAAGGATCTGCAAATGGTCACATGGTGATTTCATGGGATTTTCAGCGGGATATGATGGGATTTGCTAGGTTTTTTGTTCATGAGACAATCAACCAACCATGACATAGGGATACTAGTACCACTTATGATGGTGATGTAGTATGGATTATGAAAAAGAATGGTAATATTGGAATCGAGTGGGGGGAAACTATGGAATATGATATTTGGACATATTTGGGGTTGTATGACAAGGTGCTGCCCCTCCTTAGCTAAGTTGGTTTGTAACTAGGTTCACAAAGGGTTTATGGGGATTGTAGCCAGAGTTAGGTGGGTTGATAAACCAATTTGTAACTAGGGGGCCCCACCTTGCATTGATCATGGAAAACGCATCTCTAAATGGGGACGCGACATAATGGGGAAATTTTGGTAGTTCATCCCCCATTTCATGATTGATTGTCAGATTGAAGCAACAATCATCGCGAAAGAATGGGGATATCATGGGTGTGTCTGATGATTGATGGCAGCTTTGGGGTTTGCCGCCCATTTTCACCCCTAATTGTCCTCGATGTCATCTCTGGGTGATGCCAGTCCCCCCACTTCTGATGTGTTTAGTATCCATAGATGTCCCATCTTTGTTGGTTCAAAATGATGAGATTCCCAACCTTAATCTATGTTGATGTGAAAACCAAGGTATCGCAACACCCAAACAAAAACAAAAAAGTTCAATCATGTTCAGCGTACGTACATCAATATCTCACTGTTCTATAATTACTTATTTAAATTTTAATCTATATTAATCTTACTATAGTTTCTACCTTTAGGTTGCCATAAGCCATTCCAAAATCTTCACCGAAGATTCTAAGCTCCTCGCCTGCAACAGCGTCAGGTCATCGTCGTCGTAGTCGTCCGTCACGGACACAGGACCGGTGCCTCGTGGGGAATTTGTTTTGGGTCGCCCTCTTTGGTTTGGAGATTGCGAACTAACATGGCTAGAGGTCAAAATCATTCCAAATTCAAGAGCCTCATTTTTTGGGTGAAACATCCCATTTCTATCCAAATTTGGGGTCCTTCAACAAAAATAACCCATCACCTTGGCTGCGCTCAGTGGGCTGAGGTGGTGACGCTGTGCCATCACACCCTCGCAGTATTTCTTGGCGCGCTTCCTCCTGACAGATTCGATGGATTCGGATCTCCAGAAAAGGATTTGAATCAGAAATATCTTTGTTTGGTCCAGGGAACCATTGGAAACCACATGTGGATCACTGTGGATCATGTTTCGGATCTTTTAGTACTTCAATGTTCATCATAGTCAAACATCTGAATTTGAGGGAACCTGAGGAATTGAACCCAAACCCAAGTTAATGTATTTATTCATATGTGTGTTTATCTATTAAGCTTGTTTATTCATTTATTCTATTGTCCACCTATTCACCCTTCCCATCCATCCAAATGGTGGAAATCTTGCCACTTGTCACTTTAACTCACCAAAATCTCGACAGTTCAAGAGTAGACCCGACCAAACTCTGCGGATCCATAGGTCTGCGATTCTGACCAATACTATGAGGTTTACTTGATGTTGGATGATGTTGGGGATTAAGCCTTGAGCATCTTTCAGGGTTCCGTTAGACACCCTGCTGTCATTGAAACTGCAGGATCTAGCGGGATCCGGCATTGCAGAAACACATCAGGCAGCATTCATGTTTTTGATTCCATGGTTGCCGAAACAAACACATGTCTGAAACCAACAGTTTCCACAGTTTCCACCAATCAGATAGCCATGATATATCTCATGCCTAGTCCGATCCGCCAAGCCGGATCCCATCTCCATCTCCACTTCACCCCACCGGATCACGCCAAGCCGAGGTGCTGGATTTTGCTGCCGCGGATCTCTAGAATGAGGTCGCGCTCGAAAAGCTCAATCTCAGCCTCCAGTGAGTCACCGTCAGAGGGCTCAGAACTGAACAGCATCCAGTCGGGAAAATGTGGGGTGCCAACAAAGGTGTGTTGGTTTTGATTGAACAAACAACAAAGGACATTTCAACATGACAAACCATTACTCAGCCCATTCTGTGGAAAACAAGAATATAGTATGCAATGAATATATAATCAACAGAACTGATGATTTCCGCAACAAACATGGAAGGATACACAGCAGATGGATAGGAAAGCATATGGAAGGCATATAGCAAGTATTTCACCAAATCGCCTCTGCGACCTTCGCGATCTTCTCCTGAGGTGCGAAAATGTCCCAAAGATCTTTGGTGAATTGGCAAAGGTCTACAAATGTTTGGAAATCCAACCATATGTTTAGATAATTATAAAAATATTATATTTTTTGTCGATTTGCCAAAATTCAAAAAATAAAACATGAATCTGAATAAACTAATCATCCATATCGGACATGAAGTACTCTCCGTTCAGCCGAAACGTGTCCCAACACCGCCCCATTTCGCCTGTATTCTTACCTTGTCAGAAGTAAAATGCCATTCACCCCGCAGTGGCACCTTGGTCTTGCCACCCTTGCCAAGAATGAAGGCTGCATCATCGTCTGTGATCTTCAAAGTATCGACCCCATAGTCTTCCTCAGCTGTGCCCATTCCCAGAGATCCCAGAGATCCCAGAGATCCCAGAGATCCCAGAGATCCCAGAGATCCCAGTCCCAGGCAGCCAAGTAGTTCCCACCCGTGGTGGGATGGTCGCACTCTGGGATTCTGCAAGCTGGTCGGTGCCCAGGCTGTGGGGAGGATACTCAGAACGGAGAAGAGTACAGTATAGATCACTGGACAATATAGTATATATATATATAGTATATGTATATATATATAGTATGTATATATATATATAGTATGTATATATATATATATAGTCAGAGGCTGGGTTCTTGGAAAGTGCTCTAGCAGAACGTCCAAAAATTACCACCTCTCAAGAAACACCGCCCTGCAGGGCTCTAGAATGCTCTAGAACCGAACACCGACGGATGCCAAAGGGACCTGTTCGTTTGGAAAATCCAGAACCGATGTTTCGAAACTTTGCTCAGTTTTCCTGCACTGCCGTGCCCATCAATTTGCTATGTTGAGAATTCAGGGGGGAATAAACTAGGATTAGGTAATTCTTCTTCTTGTTCTTCTTAAATTAAAATAATATTTGAAGAAACGATATGATGATTTTGGAATTTTGTGCCAAACATCTCAACTGGTTGGTGGTTATTTCAACCCCTCTGAAAAATCATGGAGTTCGTCAATATTTCCAGGTCCCAAGGATAACAAACGGCCCAGGGTCGGGTCGTTTCGGCCGCCCAGCACTGCGACTTCGGCTACGGCTCCGCTCCTGGATTAGGCAACAGAAAACTGGGCTGTAAAAAAATCACAATCTATAACTTACATGTATAACAGACAATGTATATCTAATGTGGAATATAGTGATAATATCTAGGGTCTATGGTATATATTAATACTTTATATATGTCTATATAGTAATGTCTATATAGTAATGTCTATATAGTAATGTCTAATTTGTAATTAATTTGTGCACTTGTCAAGCATCACTTTTAATATTTGGTCTCTAAAGAGGTCTACTGTTCTAGCAGTTCGCCAGTTTTTGCACACCCTTCGACAGGCAAAGTCAATAGCTCCGGGTGCCCTGGAGACAAAAGCTGCCCCACCAAGCCCGTTGAGACCTACGGCCCTACGGCAACCATAGTAGGTTGTGATAGTGATAGCAATGGCAATCAATATACCATGATATACCATGATATACTATGGCTGTCTCATGACATTTTGGTGGGTACCGCAAACATCCGGCTCCTTGGGGCTTTTGCCCCTGCTGTCGCTCCGGGGCATGGCTTTCACGTGATCAGTTCAAACTTGACGTTTCTTTGTTGGCCAAACTGAAACCTTTGGTGAAATTCGAAATTCGGCACATTGAGGTATTGTCTGTTTTTCAGAAAGCATCCATGAAAGTCGAAAGAGAAATGGTCTTGAAACATTGGGCATGTCCAAGCTGTAACTACGATTCCTTTGGATCTGTCTCTGCCATATCGGAGCCTAGGAACAAACGGAACTCGAAATGGCGGCAGGCATTCCTCTGTATCCTTCATGCCGATCAATTGGACCACGGTAACACATTCATGGATACTCATGAAATGTAGAGTCAGATGGCACAAGTTGTTCCTAGGATTTTTTCCACTGTTGTACAGCATGAGCATTGCTTCCAACATGGTTGTCCCACTTAGAACCGCAGCTACTAATCATTTTCTAGTGGTTTCAACCCTATTTCTGTCCCTAAAATTGTCTTGCAGCAGTGTCTAAATTTATGTATTTGGTCGATAAAAAGAAACCGGAAGACTTCGCCCAGTTGGTGCAGTAGCATCCCTAGCGCCTAGCATCCCCATGTTGAGGTGGCCAAAAATCATCCCATCTTTGCAGCTCCCACAGCGCTGAAGATTTGTTCAGCGCACTTCATGGTCGCCTCTTGGTCTAAGACCACTTCGAAGCTGGAGAGCAGTGCCTGGGTCGCAAGAGTTCACCAAAGGAGTCGACCAATGGAGGAATGGTGCTTTAGCCTGCTAACAAACATGGCAACTTTCGATCAATCATGAGGATGTATGCAAAAAGAATTGGGGCAAGTGCGCTTAAGCGGCCCAATTTTCTTTAGGAGAACGATATCTTGCAAAAAAAACTGGGGTCCGTCTGAATTACCTGCAGAGCCCTGCAGCTGTGTGTCGGCATAGGCCACTGGCTGCTTGATGGCGTCTTGCAAGCCGTCGGTGGCTGTGACAGCACTGAGCAACATCAGAAACTCCTGACGCCACGACATTACACCAGCTGACTCCAAGACACTGAACCCACTCCTTGTTTGTGGAATCATTGTTTTTGGATGTTTTGGTACTGCTTTTATTATCCACCTTAAGTGCTACTGGTGAAATTGTTGAACAATAATTCCACTTGTCCGCTGAACTGTGGAAGTGTGACACCACTGGCAGGGAGGTGTATCCCAATCCGTCACCGCACGGAGGCATTGAAAACGAACAGGAAAATCAGTTCCTCTTTTGGGGATATCATGGGATTAATATGGGATGTCAAGGATATTCTGATGGAATAAACTGATGATATCCTGAGCCCCCCTGTTTCATTTCTCCTAAATGTCCATACCGCAAACTCTGATCATCTCTGATCAATAAATCAACCTGAGCAAGAATTTTGTCGTTCTACAGTTTCTCTCAACCGAGTACCATGTCACAATTGGAGCACCAAAGTTGCCTGTTATTTCTTGATATACAAACGGGGCACTTCCAGTGGCACATCTGGATTCCGCAACTGGTTAGTGGTTTCAGGAACCAACCATGTCCATCTTTTCCAAATGGGGATGGAAAGTAGCAAAGTATTGAAATCACCAACCATACAGTACCGTAACCTAATCATCAATTGGTCATAAGCTATGATGGTTGGTCCTATACGCATGTCTCTTGTTGGCATTCTCGTCTTAGTTGGTGTAAATCACAATGTGTGCTTGCTATATTTGGATACCAATATTTGTTGCACAATTTTACCCGTTTTGTTCGTTCGATCCCCACCAAGCAAACAGCCACCAAGCCCTTGGCTCCTGTGGTGGCAGCTGTCCTGTCCCATCCACATCCAGACTTCGGCAGGCTCTGAGCAGGGCCTGCATTGTGTTCAAACTGCATAGGGGTCATGAAGTTGGCAAAAAAGAATGATAGTTGCAAATGCAAAAATGATATAGTCCAAATGTCCAAATTCTATAATACCATATAATACCTTATATATATACATATATATTCCTATATAATCTATATTATATATATATACATATTCCTATAAATGTATTCATATGGTTATGTGTCATACCCCAGTACTGTAAATAAAAAATGCTGGGATTTCTGGTTGTTATTCCATTAAAAATCACCAGCTTCGCGCCTCTCGGTGTTCCAGGATCGCAGTGGCCACCCTCTGTGGAACCGCTGCGGCATTGACCTGTCGTTTTTGGAGATCCACAAAAGGGGGACATAACTCAGCCGTTTCTAGTTAAGATAAAACATGATAAAACAACTAGTAAGGAGTTGGGGAAGTTGGCTTGACTTGGTTACTTTCACCACCCAACAACGGGGAACCCCCTCATATTTTGTCACCAAATTTCTATCCAAAATGACCCTAGCATCCGCACGAATGAGCCCTGGGCGTGATAGCGCAAAAGATTCGGTTAGAATCATCAAACGGGGTGCACATTCATGGAGCCTAAAACCCTGGCTACGAGGTCACCAATATGGCCATCTACCTGCCCCCGGGTCCCCTGGCCTTGGTTGGGCACTGCTTCTCACCCAACCCCCGCGCCAGCTCCAGGAAGGACAGGGTGCCTCTGGCGGATCGGTGACGGTAATACTGTTGGGATATACTATTACTACATGTTGGGATATACTATAGTGAGATAATGATATAATATGAATTAATATGATATAATATATATATAATTATATATAATTACTCTTTCTTGGGATATACTATTTGGGAGATATTTCCCAAAGTTAGAGACCCAACATCCCAACAGTTTCATGCTGCGCTTCTAGGTCGGGGCTTCGTCGAAGTTCGACCTAGCTTAGTACTGGCAATCATCGATCAGTCAATGTTCTGCATACCCATCTTATGCGGAATTGAAGAAGAAGTTGTGTCACTTCAAACTCCGTTTGATCTGTTTTGGGAGATAGTTCCAATCCATTTGGGTTTGTCCAAAAATGTGGTACCAAAATCCGAAGGTTTATCATCATTATCCAAGTTTCCAGGTTCCATTCCGGGTTTGAGTGCCATACGTGATGCACCAGTCCCAGACCCAGAGATTGAAACTCAACAATCGATGGTGTTCATAACCTGGGATATCCGCCATTTCAAACCCCATTAGTCGAAGGATATTCATTCAAAAAATCCTTCTCCCCATTTAGCGAATATGATTTTAACTTCAATATGGCTTAATCTTCAGATTCCAATCCCCATGGCTTAGGATGCTTTTCGGTTCCCAATCCCCATTTCTTTTGTTTCCAGGTTCCAATCTACATGTTTCAGCCGATGTTGCTATCTTGAAGTTCCAAGTGGAGGGTTCCTAAAATGGGGCTACCCCCACATCATCCGTGGATTTTCCACTATAAATGTACGTACAATTTTCATAGATTTTCCGTCATAAATCATCCAGCTATTGGGGATCCTCCATTGATGGAAACCCAATGAATCCGCCTGTGGAATTGGTGTCCAGCAACTCCACCAACTCTGAAAGGCCGTCCATGTCTTCGTCGTGGTCGGGGCGACTGACAAGGGCAGGGGAATGGGGAACCTGAAAAGAGCTGGGTGTATGGTGTATGTGGGATTATATGTAGAATGATGTAGAATGATTGAACATTGTTTGTGAGATATGTGGGATAAATCCTTGTCATCACCATCAAACACATCTGCTACTGAGTCATCATTTGAGGCATGTGACATGTGTCGCAAATTATACAAGGCAGCTCGGTCCCACAAACTAGCTTGCAGCTACGGGCTCCACTTTTTTTGATTCAGTAGCGACCCCCCGACTGCCAGTTGAATATCATTGAACATCAATGTGAATATTATTATTATTGTTATTGTTATAATGATTATTGATTATTATTATATAATAATTATTATTACTATTATATATTAATATTAATTATCATTAATTATTATTACTATCAACTATTATTATTACTATTATTATTATACGTATATTATTATTAATTGTTATTATGTATGCATACACATCACCCACTCACATGTTAGGCCACAACCCATTGGTTCGCCTGCCAAACAGCCGTGCGTAGAGGCCACCTGAGCTGCTCCACTCTTGGATCTGTCGCAAACCACGCACGGTTTCTGGGATGGGAAGGACCCCGTCGCCGTCCTGCATCGATGATTAATGGCAAGTACAAAGGTTTCTTGCAATTTGTTTCCCCTCCCATTCAATCCATTCAATCCATTCTGATCCATGGCTAAATGTCTTGCCACAATGCCAACCTCATTCCGCTGACACAAATTTAACAAACAACTCCAGATTATCCGGTTCTGACTCCAGATACTCTAGGTACCCTCTGGTAAACTAACATAGCTATGGAAAATCACCATTTTCAATGGGAAAATCCACTATTTCTATGGTCATTTTCAATAGCTATTTTGACATAACCAGAGGGTACTCCAGGTACCTCTTACTTTTGGTGAAAACTTGTGATGCCCCCACCATCCCACGGCGATCCAGCGATGCTCCTTGTCAAAGGCCTGGAAGAAGTGCAGCAACGCAGTGTGCACCGAGCCGTCCGCCGGCTCGGCCCATTGGATGAGCCCTGACGGAAAATGGCCCGAATAAAAAAAAAAAACACGAAACATATGGGATCTGGGGTATCTACCAGAAAAAATGCAAAAAAAAAGGTATTTACCACATTTATACCACTAAGAATGGAAGATGTACTACCAATGATATGGGAATTTGATGGAATTTGGATGATATGCCTTGACGTTTTGGTGATCCTTTCAAGAGTCAGGGGATAAAAGGAGACAAAAGATCCAAGACCCCGGGCACGACTATGATTGAAGGAAGTAAAGAGCTGGCACAATGATTTCTACAAAAAACTCAATCATTCTTTATCGAAAACCCTGACCTGTCCCAAAAAGGTTCTGGCACAAAAAAAACATGTCCCCTGAGTCCCCGGAACAAAAAACAAAAACCACAACCCCCCTTGTTTCAGCACATCACAGGGGTACTTTCTCACCCCACTTGCGGGTGCAGTTCCAGTTGTAAGTGGACAGAAAAACCCATAGGAACCATAGTTCTTGGGGTCCCATATCCCAATGACTATGGTGGTTATTTCACCATAGGTTATAATGTATAGTTAATTATAACATCTTACACAAGTGGCAATAGAAATGTTCCAATGTTTATAGTTGATAGTTTATGCCACATTTATATAGTTGATGTTCCCATTTTTATAGTTGTTCCCATTAAAACCTCCATCTATAGCTGATTTTCACTTGCCATGTCTGATCACTGGCCTTCTCGCAGCTGCCCTAGCTGAAGCTGCTGCGGCTCATCGCTGGAGAGGCTGGGAGCATAGACCAGGAGCCGGTCGATCATGGTGCCGAAGCTCATTTCCTCCACTTAGGGGGAACTCAACAGTAAATTGGGGATGGAGAAAAAACTGGAGAACCTAGGAAGTCAAGACAGAACTCATGGATTTGATAAACTGATACAAATGGGTAGTGTGAATGTATACCAATGATGTCGTCAGCTACAATCTATATTTCGTGCGAGTATTGTGGAATCTTTGGGACCATCCAATTGTTTCTTCCGTGCAGTACCAATGTTTCACTGAGCTGGTTCTGGAAGGAAACCTCTTGGAATGGGCGAATGGGGAACAACGGCGGACACGCATTTTCCCTGTGAAACTGGGGCATGGTTCATCAACAGAGTATCGGTTCCCATTCCATCCCGCATCCCACATTGTCCCACTATAAACATACTATAAACCCATACTGGTTGGTGGTTTTAACCATCTTGAAACATATTAGTCAATGGAAAGGATTATCCCGTATCCCATATACCCTCTGGTAAACTAACATAGCTATTGAAAACGACCATTTATAGTGGATTTACCCATTGGAAATGGTGATTTTCCATAGCTATGTTAGTTTACCAGAGGGTATTATGGAAAAAAAAAATGTTCCAAACCACCAACCAGCATAAATTTCTTGGTGAATCACAGATTTCCCCACTGTCACCGCCTTGCCCTCGTTCTGCGCAATGAGCCACGCCAAGTGCTGCGCCCGCTCCTCAGGCATCTTGGGCTGCAGAAGCTGCAAGGCATGCTGCAACTCCTGCTGTTCGGGGGATACCAGGAGGATATACTATAGGATATATATATATATAAATCAACAAATAGTGTGGATTATAGACAGCCAAGAAGTATCCACTACATTCCACTGTATAAGTATCAGTGGGCTAGAATCGAAGTCATTATCCCAGAATCCCAGGTGGGCTTTATCACCTGGAAATATGTTCTCTAAGGCCACCTATCAATAGTAGGCGTAATAGGCGTACAAGTACTATGCCCAAAAAAAAAATCAGGTTCGAACCCAACCAGTCCCCAGGAGAGGTTACAGTGACCAAGATTTAGGATGGTGAAGCCACTGCCATAGACCCCCAATATCCCCCAATTGTGGTGACGACAAATTTCGAGTAAGATTGCGCAAGAACTACTTTTGTCTGGGTAAATTAATTCTGACACTTCACCAACCTGAAACAATATCCTTCTGGAATACCCTTACCGTGATTGGGCTTTGGGACCTCTGACAGCATGTCAAAGCTTCCAACTGCGCCTGCAAGGACACCAAACCATCCTGACTGGAATCGAAGATGGCTTGCAAGCCTTCCAGGGAGCCGCTTCTTGGGACCAAGTCCCATCAAGGAAGCGGCTTGGAAATATGTTGAGCGAATCAGTTGCTATGAGGGTTGGGCACTCAAGTATACATAAGTATCATCATCCCAAATTGTCACCTTTCTGAAACCCTCTCTGTTTCATAGACATACTCCAACGTGGAAGCGACAAGAAAACCTCACCTGCCTGATTCCATTCTCCTCCCTATCTCACATAGTACACCCATCCCAACGCATAAATCGCGGTCGCCGGCTTGCTTTTCACCCATGTCATATCTCCATCCGCCACCATGTTCATCTATGTTTGTCCAAAATGACATCTTCCGTCTTCATGCAAATTTCCCATCATTGGTTTCATTGAAAATTTACTAGAAACATCTACAATCTCGTGGTCAAAACCAACTTTCCTCTCAATTCCATTGAAACATCTTGAAACACCAAAATAGACCCAGCCCCCCAGGCCTGACAACTGGATTTCGGCCTCCAACATGGCACGCACCAAACGGCCCACTTCTGCCGTGTTCAGCCTGGGTTATCGTTTTTTAATCCGTACATTTCACATCAACATGACATCATGAGCAATGGCCAAAGTCCTTTCTAATGTTTGGTAGATTGATGTTCATCATGCATTTCACTCTATATATATATATATATATCCCTATGATTGGAAGTACAAATCCCATGACCCAACTGTTATGGATTCATGTGTCCCTTTATAAACAACTTCAACCCATTTCAACCCCCAGGTTTCTACCAGCCAAGAAAATGTGGCTGGCGGTCCTCCATAAATGTGGTTAGCCAGTAATTCACCGACACCAGCAAAATACCAGGTCGATGTTCCCCAAATATGACTCTCTGTGCCCAAAATCATATGAACACTGAATTAAATGAATTAACAATTGACGATTGGTTCCGTTGCTTCCAACATACAACAACATTTGGCTATGGATCAATACCTATTAATACCATTTTTAGTGGGATGAACATCCATTT